AGCGACGTCGCGCTGTGGGAGTGGTAAGCTGAGGTCAGGACGTTTTCTCAGGCGGTTTTTCACCGGAGAAGAAGATGCTACAGGAGGCGATTGAATCGGTTTCATGGCTTTGGAAGGAATCAAAAAGTTGTTCACGAGGTTGATTTCTTCTCTTGTAGAGGTTTTCATAGAATCAGGTCTCTCTCGTCTTCTTCGTGTTTATCATCATCGTTTAGGGTTTTGATTCTTCCTTTGAAACGATCAAATCAAAAGGAAAAACAAAAAAAACGAAGGTTCATCGAAGAAATTAATTTGTTGGAAATGGAAGGAAATAAAAGGTTATTTACATGTTTTGGAAACTTTTTGAGACAACAAAATGTAAAAAATGAAAAATTGTGTAAAAATGAAAAAAAGGTTAGAAATCGAGAGACAATTTCGAGGAAAAGGTGTCCACGCGCTGAGAAAACGCGCGTGTGAGACACTTGCTAGCTTTTGGAAGCATCTGTGTGGTTCTGTGTAGTTACACGTTAACGATGTTTTTGTTGGTCGGTCTGTTATTTGCGTGTGAGTGGGGTTCGGTGTTTTAAAAAGCAAGAAATGATTTAAAGATGTTTTAAAAATTATTAATTACAAAATCGCATTCCTTTTTAAAAAAAATCGCATTCCCATTAGTAAGTAGGATATTTACAAAAATAACCAAAAAAATTTAATAACTGAAAGGATAACAAAATTAGTATTTGTGACCAAATATCTACTCTTACTCTTAGATTTATGTTAGATGGTTAAGATTTATATTAAAGTTTTTGTTTTGGTTATAACATGCAATTTCACTAGAAAGTAAATCTATATTTTTTTAGAACTATACAAATATAATAGGTAGTAAGTATACTATAGATGGATGAATACTTATCCCTTCATCCTATTATCTAATATAATACTTTAAAAATTTTTTTAAGTAAAGTTTCGAGAAACTGACACGTATAATTTTTGGTGTTAAAATTTTTTATTTTTAGTAATTTATTTTTACTTAGTTTTGACATGTGTCCCTCTAAATTTTATAATTTTTGCATTGATTCTTTAAAATAAAAATGTGATATCAATATATTAACTTAAAGTAAATATTTCACTAACATCAAATTATCTTCATAAATTAATTAAAAAAAATATGTAAAACCATATTCTAATAGATAAATTTTTTTTAGTATCTCTTTTCAAATTCTTTAAAATTTTCTTTAATTAGAATTTCTGAAAAACTATCATATTTAAAAAATATATATTTTAAAC